ATTCTATGTTCTATTCTGAGGGAGAGGGAGGGAGGGAGAGGGAGGGAGAGGGAGAGAGAGAGACTAAACACCCCATGAAAATAAATAGTAGAAGACAACACAGTTTTTTGAATCTGGGAAAAAAATATCATGCACAAATGCAATACACCATATACACAAACATACAAACCATCCAAGATCCACAAAGGGACATAGAAACGTTACCCCATAAGTCTCATGTAATCTGGACTCTGCTGGGTTTGATTGGCAATCTTCACAAAAGCCTTCTTACCAAGTGGATATAACCATTTTTTCCCCTCATTATTTAGACCTCTATGGTCCTTTTCCAAAGAGAATGGTGTTTCTTCTACTCCACTGGATTCCTATGCACTGGATTTAAGTATCATCATCATCATCATCATCATCATCATCATCATCATCATCATCATCATCATCATCATTATTATTATTATTATTATTATTATTATTATTATTATTATTATTATTATTATTATTTCAAGTGGTGCTCCAGTTGTTTTGGGATTGTAATAGGCACCCTGGGTGCAATCCCAAAACAACTGGAGCACCACTTGAACACCATCGGCATTGACAGATTCGCCATTAGTCAATTGCAAAAGGCGGCCTTACTAGGAACTGCTTCCATCCTGCGACAATATCTGTAATACCATCAAACATCCACATCTGCCTATCCCAGGTCCTTGGTAAGGACTCGATAGGTAGACAAAAATGCCAAATCCAGTCTGAACATCTGGCTGATTGTGTAATAATAATAATAATAATAATAATAATAATAATAATAATAATAATAATAATAATAATGTTGGAAGGGACCTTGGAGATCATCTAGTCCAACCTCCTGCTCAGGCAGGAAACCCTGTGGTATCCTGTGGATTACCTGTGATACCTCTTTGACGGTTGTGCTGATCACACAAATTCAAGCTTTATGACTTTGGGTGACTTCTCCCATTGTCCCCGGCACAGGATAAAAACTCCAGTGAATTCTGAAAAACGCAGGTTTTATTCCAAATTCCATATGAATTGGAAAATTAATAAAACTTGGGCTGAGCCTGTATTCTATTCCCATGTAGAAAAGGTCATCTTCCCTCGTAAGAATGTCACTATTTAAAACATTCTGTGAACATAAAGTATATTGAAAAAAAACCTGTAGCACTTAGCATAACTCAGTACGGCTTTGCCGAAAACATAACTTGCCAGATGAATCTTATCTCAGTTTTTCCTTTGATAACTTCCTTAAGTGAAGTTCGGAGAGGAATGCCATAAGGATCAGTTCTAGATCCTCTGTTCTTTAATAGTTTCATTTAAATTTCAGTGAAGAGGCAGAGGGACTGCTTATTAAATTTGCAATGGATTAAATTTGCAATTGATGGAGCGAGAGAGTGAACATGCTAGAAGAAAGACAGAAAATTCAAATCAGTCTCGAAAGCAACAGAACGAAAATTAATACAGAGCAATGCGAAGTTCTTTGCTTACAAAGAGTTCCGTTTCGGAAACCGGCGGCCATAGAAATGTGTTTAATAAATAAATAATAAAAACCAAACACGTGCGTGTAGATACCTGGCTTGGCAAGAGCACCTGGGGAAAAGATCTTGGAATAGTAAATGGATGAGCCACAAAAGGGAAATACAGTTTTAGACTGCGTCAATGAAGAATAATTTACAAGGTGTGAAAGTAACCATTTCATGATATTTTGGCCCCCATCTTGACTGAGCAACACATCGCAGTTCAGAGAAATAGGAGCAGGTTAGAAACGACAGGGGCTCAATGGCTCAGCAGTTAAAGACGCTGAACTTGTCAGCTGGAAATCTGACATCCAGGGTTCGAGATCCGAGCACCGCACGACGGGGTGAGCTCCCGTTTCTTGCTCCAGCTCCTGCCCACGGAGCAGTTTGAAAGCATGCAAACGCAATCTATCACAACCTACTACTTGATAAGATAGAAAAATGCGGGTTAGACAGCATCACCACCAGATGGATCCGTAGCTGGATGACCGGCCGTACTCAGCGTGTGGTCCTCAATGGAACCGCATCTACATGGAGGGAAGTGTGTAGTGGGGTGCCCCAGGGCTCTGTTCTGGGCCCAGTGCTCTTCAACATCTTCATCAACGATCTGGACGAGGGGATAGATGGGGAACTCATCAAATTTGCAGACGACACCCAGCTGGCAGGAATAGCCAACACTCCAGAAGACAGGCTTAGGATACAGGAGGATCTGGACAGACTTGAACACTGGGCGCTATCTAACAAAATGAAATTCAATGGTGAAAAAAGCAAGGTTCTACATTTAGGCAAGAAAAACCAAATGTACAGGTATAGTATAGGGGGTACCTTGCTCAACAGTAGTAACTGTGAGAGGGAACTTGGAGTCCTAGTGGACAATCATTTAAATATGAGCCAGCATATTTAATAGCATGAGAGCAGTGTTCCAGTATCTCAGGGGCTGCCACAAAGAAGAGGGAGTCAAGCTATTTTCCAAAGCGCCTGAAGGCAGGACAAGAAGCAACGGGTGGAAACTAACCAAAGAGAGAAGCAACCTAGAACTAAGGAGAAACTTCCTGACAGTTAGAACAATTAACCAGTGGAACAACCTGCCTCCAGAAGTGGTGAATGCTCCAACACTGGAAGTTTTTAAGAAGAGACTGGACAGCCATTTGTCTGAAATGGTACCTATTTATCTACTTATAATATAATATAATAATAATGGCCACATGACCATGGCAATGTCTTCAGACAGCGTTGACTCCCTCGACAGATGAGCACTTCCCCTTGCAGATGGGCATGATTGGAGAGGGGGAATCTTTTACCTTTATAAATCAAGGAATTAGAAACCAAGATTTGGAAAGAGAGATTGCAAGAGCCGGATACATTCAGCCTTGAAAAATGACTGCAGGTGAAAGGTTGCATGCTTTAATTACCATCTCACATAGAAAGTCAAGACCTATTCTTTTCTTACTGGAGAATGCAGGATAATAAATACTAGATTTTAAGTTTACAGGGAGGCAGATTTAGAATTGAATGTTAGGAAGAACTTTCCAGTAGGAAGGGCACCTCGACAGTAGAATCAGTGTCTCAGCAAGATCACAGCATGCATAAAACAGGGGAGGGTAAACAGCCAGCCTGGAAAGCTTTAATTTAATGGATTCCTGTATTAAGCAGGAGTTGAACTCGGTGACTTTATATGGTTCTAAGATCTGATGGGGATATGCTCTGAATCCTTCACATTTCAGCTGGCAATAAGAACAAGTGTATTGTGCACATTAGGATGCAGGAAGCAATGACTCGGGACGAGTAAGTAGATGCCCAGAGGTTTGATTCCAGAATAAGGGAACTAATGTGCCAGTAACAAATGGAATTAAGCTTATTAAGTTAAAAGTAGACTATTACAACTAGTCCTCAACTTATGACTGTAATGGAGCTTGGAATTACAGTTGTAGGTCATTGCGGCCATTAAGTGGGTCACCAGTAACCTTTTACAGCCTTTATCTAGTTCAGGGGTGTCAAACTCAATTTCACTGAGGGCCGCATCAGCATTGTGGTTGCCCTGGGGAGGCCGGGTGGGTGTGGCCAGAGTGGGTGCAGCCTACTGGGTGGGCGTGAATGGAGTGGGTGTGGCCTACTGGGTGGGCGTGGCCAGCTCTACATCGTTCGCGTCAAGGGTGTCTGTGGGGGCCTGGGCAGGAGTGGGACAGATCTGAGGGTCTCTGGCAGAAGGGGGTGGGACCGGGGCAAGCGCCAAGGCATGGTCCACTGGGGCAAGTGCCAAGATGGCCACCACAAAATTGTATATTGGCTCCCAGCCGGCCAGGGCCAAGGCAGCGGGGGCCGTTCCCTCACTGTTTCCAGGATGGCTTCGCGGGCCAAATGAAACCACTTTACGGGCCACATCCGGCCCCCGGGCCTTGTGTTTGACATGTCTGATCTAGTTGGTGTTTTTTGCTGGAAACCAGACACAAACATTGGAAACCAGCAAAAAAAAAAAAAAAAAAACCACCCAAAAATCATTGTCACATGACTAAGGGATGCTCCAAATTGCTGTAAATACAAGCCAGTTGCCAAGCACTCAAAATGTGAGTCTGTGACTACGTGCATGTGTCTTTGTCTGTGTGAGTGTGTTCCAGCCGTCAGAACTTCAGGCTCCAAAACCCAGTTTCATTTATTGTTCTACACAGAATCTGGCCGAATTAAAGAAGACGATTTGTACCATAAAGCAGAGGTCCCCAACCTTTTGGGCACCAGGGACCGGTTCCGTGGAGAGACGTTTTTCCGCGGACCAGAGGGCGTGTGGTTTTGTGTGCTGCCTGCCTCTCATGGATGGGGCTTTGCTTGTTTGTGCGGACCGGTTGCTGGTGTGCTGCAGCCCGGTACTGGTCCACGGACCGGGGGTTGGGGACCCCTGGTCTAAAGGATTTTTTATTCTTTAGTTATACCCTTTCCTTTTTGTGGGGTTATAAACCTTACTTTGGAAATTTGTTAGTATGGTATTAATGTTTTAATAAAAAATCCAGGATATGGGATTAAAGTGCTTGATGTCGAAACTGAAAGTGAAAGAAATATATTTTACAGCGGTGTTTTTAAATCTTGTCAGCTTTAAGATGTGTGGACTTCAATTCCCAGAATTCCCCAGCCAGCAAGGGTTCACAGGTCTTAAAGCAAAGCTGGCTGGGGAATTCTGGGAGTTGAAGCCCACACGTCTTAATGTCTCTAAGTTTGAGAAACACTGTTGGTTATAGTGCAATTTTGTTTAAAGCATATATTCTGGGAACTCTTAGGGAGAAGCTATCTTCACCCACTTTCTCCCATGCAGACTATCTAAACTGAGCTTCCTGTTGCTCTTCTCTGCCTTCTGGGAATCCAGACTATATTCCACCACAGCCATTAGCCTTTCAAGCCAACGAAGGGAAAGAAAAGGATGTGCTCAGTGTTAATGTTTATTTTTATTGTTCGCATTAATGAGTTTGGTGATTCTCTCCTTGGTCTCCCCAGGAAAACAGTTGGCGTTTTTTGCTGCGGCCCTCGTGGAATCTCCAAAGCTGTACACAAACAAAGCAATAGGCGCAATCCTTACGGGACAAGGTTTGAATACAACAAAGAATCCTTTAGCTGAGAGCATCGGGGGCTTTCCAAGGACTGCTTGAAGATTTGAGTGCAATTTTTTTTTTTGGTTAAAAAAAGAAAAAAAAATCAACAGCTTTACTTTGACCACTTGTACCAAAGCCTGTCTTTTCTTTCCTTCCTTGCTTTCTCCTTTTCCTGATAATTTATGACTATTTAAATCTGAAAAGCATAAAAAAATGAAATACACTCCTTTTGGATATGCAAAAAGAAAGAAAGAAAGCCAAGTTATTACAGGCGTTGGCAATCTGCCCAAATTACACAAAGGCAATTAGAGATGGAGACTTGCTTCTTTGGCTGCTTTTTTCAGAACAATCTCTGGGACTTTTGAACTTTCCTCATATCCCAGGAAATAACATTGCTTGATTGGATAAGAGACGGGAGTATGTAGTGGAAGTAAAATAATAATAAAATTCTTCCCTGTGCTGGCAGACGAATAAAGCAAACTTGAAAATGAAGGCAGAACGGCTACAGATTCAATAGGAGAAAATAAAGACCTTCCAATATCCTCAGTCAATTTCAGTTAATTAGACAGGGATCAAAACCATACCGGAGGCTGCCAAAATGGCAGTGCCAGTTTAGACAAGGTAAAGGATTTGGAGGAACCACTGCCTTTACTTTCCAAATCTAATGTAAGTATCAGCATCATAGGGGAGTGTAGTCCTCAATTTATTGAAGTTCATTTAGTGACCATTCGGAGTTATGGCTGCAATGAAAAAAGTGACAACTGTTTTTCACACTTAAAACCGTTGTGGCATCCCCTGCAGGGTGCCAGGGTCATGTGATCACCTTTTGTGACCTGACAAACAAAGACGCTGCAACCCATTGTAAATGCATACCCGAATTTTGATCTCATGGCTGTCAGGATGCTACGTTTGCAAATGTGACGGCCAGTCGTAAGTCACTTTTTTCAATGCCGTCGTGGCTTCAAATGGTCACTAAATGATTAGTCATGCATCAAGGACTATCTGGTTATGACCCAGGTGGTCAAGGCAAGGCCGGCTTCTAGAGCAGCAGTCCCCAACCTTTTGGGCACCAGGGACTGGTTCCATGTTTTTCCACGGACTGGAGGGAGCGTGGTTTTGCATCCTGCCTGCATCCCATGGATGGGGCTTTGCTTGTTTGTGCAGCAAAGTTTCTGGCATGCTGCGGCCTGGTGCCGGTCCACAGACTGGAGGTTGGGGACCCCTGCTCTAGAAAATCCTTTATTATTCTCAATAAATGTTCCAGCCATCCCCCCTTCAACAACCAGTAAAGCTCCACCCCCATGTTACCCTGAAGGCAGCCATCCTCAGTCCCCAAACAACAGCCCCTATACTGTATTACAAATAAAGCCCACAGAGTAGGAGTGTTCTGTCCCAGCCTACGTGAGTCCTTGTTAAGCTCACAGGGAGAAATCCCTCTTCCAACAAGCAGGCTGGAACCGCAGGAAAAAAACCAATCCCCTTTTATTATTTACAGACCTGAGTAAATGTCCAAAGGCAAACAAAACACAGTTCATGAAACTTGATTCCTTAACACAAACGGTTGCCTTCAGCAACCAGCACCTCCACACCAAGGCGTGGCTTCCTAATGCCTTCTCCTTTGCCTTTGGAGCCGCCCCATTGCATTCCTCTGTCCTACTCGTTTCTCTTGCCTGCGCTTTTGTGCATCCTGGATGTTTCCCAACTGTTCTTCATCACTGTCCAACTCAGACTCCCAGCACAGCTGTGTCTCAGCCTGAGCGCGAGTAGAGGGGCCAGGCTCCTCGTCAGACTGTAAGTCTTGGAGCTCATCAGACCCTTCCTCTGACTCTGATGTCCCTCCAGGCCCGTCCTCTTCCTCCTCCTCTGATTCCCCATATTCAGCTGCTGAGTCTGCTGGCTGATGAGGAATCACAACAAGGAGCATGCTCACAGGGCAAGATCCAGGGCTCCGAGTCCAGCCCACCCGGCTGAGCAAGTCCACAAGGCAAAGTCCAGGCACAAGACAAATGGCAGTCCTCAGGGCAGAGACAAGGTACAAGGCAAGAGGCAGTGCTAAAGGTGAAGCAAAGGGCCAAAAACAGTCCACAAGACAAGGATGAGGTCCAAGACAAAAGCAGTCCTCAAGGCTAGGCAAAGCGAAAAGCAGTCTTCAAAGCGAGGCAAGGCCAATGGCAACAGGCACGAGTCAAAGCGGTGAGAGTGTAAACCAAAGCAAGCAATTGTTCCTGGAAAACACTAACTCCCCACGACTTCTCCTTAAGTCAATCCCCTCCAGATGTTCCTTGTAAGGAGGGGTGGGGTGACCTTCTCTTGAGTAGCCTTGCAGCCCTTCTCTGGGCTTGCCTACGCTCCACTCTCCGTGCCCTTGGATCGAGTGGAGGAGGCAGCTGTTCCTCATCAGAGGGGATCTGCTGTCCATCAGCACCACTGCCTGTCAGCAGCCGATCCTCCCCTGTGTCTGTGAAGGCAGGCAGCTCTCCGTCCGGTTGACCACCTCCCCCAATGCTTGAGGGGTGTGGGACAACCTCAGCCCCTGGCCTCTCCAAACATGCCAAGAGAGACGTGCCATCCCTGACGGACGGTCCTGGTTCCAACTCCTCCTCCGAACCGTGCTCCAATGGGGCCATGACATACCTGTATTGTAGGACTAGGAATGGGAGACCCAGATTCATTTCCCTGCTCAGCCATGGACGTTCCCTGGGTGACCCAGTCATTCTCTCTCTCTCTCTCTCTCTCTCTCAGCCCAACCTCCTTCATAGGACAGAGGTGGGGAAGACTCAGAACTGAAGAAGCTTCTTGGATGAGAAGTGAGATGTTTTCAAGGGGAAAAAAAATGAAGAAAGTCAGTTGCCTTTTGGAAAAGCACTTTTGGATGACTTGAGAATCTCCATAACCAGCTTGGCTGGCTCAGGAATTCTGGGATTTGAAGTCCACGAGTCATAAAAGAACTAAGGTTGCCTACCCCTGCCATAGACACTCGGAGGGAAGAGGGAATGCCTCGAGCTTCTGAATGAAAAGATGGATGCGCCTATTATGAATGAATAAATAAGGCAATGAAATATACCCATATTTAAAACAAAGACAAGACAGCTAGGAGGTAGAAGGGAGGCAGTTTGCAAGAATATTACAAGACTCTGCGGCATCCCTTCTTTGAGTCCAGCCTAACTTTATCAAGCGCAGCCTCTTCATATCCAACCTCACAACCTTTCAAAATAATCCATTCTCCAATCCCTTAACTTAATGCCTAAAATCCCCTCTCAGGACGCATCCTAGGGCTAAGCCAATTAGTCCTACTTCAGTTCCAAGTAGAGATTCAAGGACAATCTAATTCACTTTGAGCAGCTTTGAGATGGAATTTTGAAAGAAAGATCCGTCCATAACGCATCTTCAGGAAGTCGCAAAACTGCAAGTTTATCATTGGAGGAGGGGTGGCAAAATGAACTGAAAATACAGATAGCCCTCACCTTAAATATGAGCCAGCCGTGTGCTGCAGCTGCCAAAAAAGCCAACAGTGTTAGGCTGCATTAACAGAGGGATAGAATCAAGATCACGTGAAGTATTAATACCACTTTACAATGCCTTGGTAAGGCCACACTTGGAATACTGCATCCAGTTTTGGTCACCACGATGTAAAAAATATGCTGAGATTGTGAGGAATTGTGATAAAGGGAATTGGGAACATTTAAAACTTAGAAATGATAAACATATAAGGAATGGTTGCTGGAATTGGGTATGTCTAGTTTAACGAAGAGAAGGACGAGGGGGGACATGATAGCAGTGTTCCAATATCTCAGGGGCTGCCACAAAGAAGAGGGAGTCAAGCTATTCTCCAAGGCACCTGAAGGCAGGACAAGAAGCAAAGGGTGGAAACTAATCAAGGACAGAAGCAACTTAGAACTAAGGAGAAACTTCCTGACAGAACAATTAACCAGTGGAACAACCTGCCTCCAGAAGCTGTGAATGCTCCAACACTGGAAGTTTTTAAGAAGAGACTGGACAGCCATTTGTCTGAAATGGTGTAGGGTTCCTGCCTGAGCAGGGGGTTGGACTAGAAGACCTCCAAGGTCCCTTCCAACTTTATTATTATTATTATTATTATTATTATTATTATTATTATTATTACTACTACTACTACTACTACTACTACTACTACTACTACTACTATTATTATTATTATTATTATTATTATTATTATTATTATTATTATTATTATTATTATTATTATTATTATTACCACAATCGAGCCCAGAATTTCTGCTGCTAAGCAAGACTGGTGAGTTTTGCCCCATGTTATGACCTTTCTTGCCACAGTTGTTAAGTGAATCACTGCAGTTGTTAAGTTAGCTACACGTTTGTTAAATGAATCTTTGCTTGTCAGAAGGTCACAATAGATGACCACACGAGCCCAGGACAATCGTCATAAATATGAGCCAGCTGCCAAGTGTCTGAATTTTGATCACACGACCATGGGGATGCTGCAGCCATCTTAAGTGTGAAAAACTGTCAGAAGGCATTTTTTTTTCTGTGCCACTGTAACTTGGAACAGTCGCTAAATTTATATATATATAATATATATAAAACAGTGAGTCCCTTATGGTGTGGCCTGTTAGAAGAGTTATATATTGATGTTGCTCAAAACCAGGGTTTGTACAGAGAACACAGCAGGAAAAATAGATGCATTAGCTCAGGAAATAGCAGGTGTTAGCCAAGGGACGGGGGATCTGTGTAGTGGTCAGTGAAAACCTGATTGAGATCACCAAGGGAGTAAGCAGGGAGTAATTATATTTCTGCATTCTTGCTGTCAAAGGAATAGTAAACTCAAACCTACATCTTTTGCTTGGTAACTTGTATGATGTCAGGAGAGGAGAGGAGAGGTTGAGAGGTGATGGAGTTGCAGCTAAGTAGTGTCATTGCACATTTGTCACACGGCAGAGCAATTCAGGAATCAGAATAATAGAGAACTACAGTTAAATATTTACAGGTGCACTGAAGCTGAAAGCCAGGAGACTTAGCAAATTCGAGGTTTCTCCCTAACTCTCCTTGGGTGGAACTTTCT